ATCTATCTATCTATCTATCTATCTATCTATCTATCTATCTATCTATCTATCTATCTATCTATCTATCTATCTATCTATCATCATCATCATCATCATCATCATCATTAAAAATATGACATTCTTTTATTAATACCATCTAATTGTATATTATTTTAAAGGGTGTATGTGTACCAAAATGGTACAAAAACAATCAACTGAAAATTTACTCAGGTTTTAGCAGTAACTAACATTTGCGTGTTTGTTGCAAAACGTAAACATGAAAAAGAAAAAGAAAACTGAAATTTTTTTAACCTGTAGATGTCAGTGTTGTTTAGATAGTTTTTTCTGCCTAATACACCACTAATGAGTAAATTCCTCATAACAGTATTATACCTGACCTTGAATTAATATTTGTTTGTTTTTTTAGTTATTTGATCAGCTTAATTCACCAAAGGTATTTTTCTAACACTAATTAAACCTCGTGTTTACAATTTCACAGCACTTGACAAAAACTGAAAGCCTTCCTGTAAATTTTGTCTTTTATTGAATCTGATTGAATTTTTTATGTTCTGTTACATTTGACGTGTTGCTGAATAGTATATAAATATATATTTTTTGGTCGATCAGCAGGTTTCAGTGAGATGATTGCAAATTACTGAGCCTCTCCGGAAGTTAGTTAACCAGTAAAACAGCCTCCAGTCAGTCACTGATCCATTTCACTGACAGTGGTGCTGGTGCCTCTGCAGTTGTTATGGTAACAGATGAGAGTTACCAGCATCTCTAATGCTCTATGGGTCACTTGCAGGCATGCACGCAGGCACACACTGCAGCTAATTGCAGGGGGAACTAGCTACAAGATCACATTCCCATTATGAGCAAGACTTACTTCCTTGGGGAAACGGTCACATCTCATTTAGATCAAGAAGTGATATTAAAGTGTGTAATGGGCTGGTCTATCTTTTGTGGAGGGCTAAATGCATCATAAACAGATCAGTGGAGGATAGTGTGCTGCTTGTTCTTGAAGAAACTTTACTTTTTGAAAAAAAAAAACTAAATGCAACCTCATTTAATGGAGTTACATTGTGCAGAACAGATCTGTTGTAACACATTTCCAAAAGCGGCAACAGTTGGGAAACACCTCTGTTTATTCACATGGATTTGTATTTAACCTCTGAGCCACATGGGTTCTGAGATCCAGACATTTTTTTGTGTGACTGAGCAACCCTCCTTGATGTAATTCATTTTTACATTGTGTTTGTTTACTTTAATGATCAATGTGAAATACATGAACCTGTGGGTGGTGAGACTCCGTCCAATATCCTCAGATCAGATTACTGACAGATTTTAGATTTTGTGCACAGATCTGGGGCTGAATTTTGAAAACATCCTAACTTGTGACCATTTTTTTCTTTATTATATCATCCTCTGTCCAGGAAGGACATTTGTAAATAATGAAGCAAACTTATTTAAAGTTAAAGCTATTATACATTGAGATGAAGTAAATAGGAAGTCACCCCTCTTCCACCAACTCTATCATTATTTTGATTTAAAAAAATAAATGCAAAGATCATCCTAGATTTTTGTTAAATCTGCTCATATTACACCTTGTAGACTAAAACACGAGGAGTACTGAATGTAACATTTGCAAAGCTCTGAAGTAAATAATAAACGATAAATGCACTTGTTCTGTTGGAGAGTTTAACTCCATCTCAACTAGGAGTTTTAAAAAGTGAAACAAAATTTCTGACAGAGGAGTGAAAAGAATTATCAGAAGAGTTGTCCAAGAGCCAAGGACCACTTGTGGAGAGCTTCAGAAAGACCTGGAATTAGCAGGTACGATTGTTTCAAAGAAAACAATAAGTAATGCACTGAACCACCATGGCCTGTATGCACGTTCACCACGCAAGACTCCACTGCTGAAGAAACAGCATGTTGAAGCTCCTTTAAAGTTTGCTGCACAACATTTAAACAAGCCTGTGAAATACTGGGAGAATATAGTCTGGTCAGATGAGACCAACATTGAACTGTTTGGATGCCAGAATACGCATCATGTTTGGAGGTCAAATGGCACTGCACATCAGCCCAAAAACACCATACCAACAGTGAAGTTTGGAGGTGGGAACATCATGGTGTGGGGCTGTTTTTCAGCATATGGTACTGGCAAACTTCAAATAATTGAAGGAAGGATGAGTGGAAAAATGTACAGAGACATTCTTGATAAAAATCTGCTTCCATCTACCAGGATGATGAAGATGAAACGTGGCTGGACATTTCAGCAAGACAATGACCCCAAACACAAAGCCAAGGAAACTCTCAGTTGGTTTCAGAGAAAGAAACTAAAGCTGCTGGAATGGCCCAGCCAATCACCTGACCTGAATCCAACAGAAAATCTATGGAAAGAACTAAAGATCAGAGTTCACAGAAGAGGTCCACGAAACCTTCAAGATTTGAAGACTGTTTGTGTGGAAGAATGGGCCAAAATCACACCTGAGCAATGCATGCCACTAGTTTCTCCATACAGGAGGCGTCTTGAAGCTGTCATTGACAACAAAGGCTTTTGTACAAAGTATTAGATAAATTTCAGTAAGTGTGTTCAATACTTTTTCCCTGTGCCATTCCACATTATTACAAATAACTTCATTTCTGGACATTTATGGTTTGATTTCTTTGTATGTATGTATGTTGTATTTTACTCACTGATGAGTTTCTAGTGAGTAGCTGCATTATGGCAGATTTAGTTTATGTTTGATGGTGACTTTAAAGCAGTTTATTTTCAGACATTAGTACTGTGCTATCCAACTTAATTGCTCAGTTACTTCAAGCCAACAGCTCAGGGACAGGAATTTTTAAAAATATTTTTATTAAATTAATTTTGTTGCATTTAACCACAAATTTAAAGTTTACCATTGAAATGAGAAACAAATTTCATGTTGAGTAAACTTATATATATATATTTTTGGAAGGGGACCCCCCCCTGGCGGACCACACGGGAGTCCCCCGTGGACCACATTTGGCCCGCGGGCCTTGTATTTGACACTTGTGGTTTAGAGGAATCTTAAATGTTTCAGATTTTGTCATGTGAAGCATTAAAATATACTCAGTGCTTGTCTCCATACAAGAGAATGTAAAATAAACATGAATATGAGACTATTTTCCTCCAAATTCAGTTTTTTTGTCATGTTTGATTAAAATATAGACCATATTATCATACAGAATTTATCAAACAGCTTATTTCGAGTCCATTTATTAGGCATGTTACAACTAAATCCTACAGAGCTGATTCTGAAGCTTACTGTGAGTTAAATTTCAGTAAAAAAAAATCTGTTCACCATTACCCAGAACCACAGAAGCAGCTTCAAATAAAACTATTTGTGGTTTTTGGAAATTCTCGTAAAGTAACTAACAAGAATTTAATCCAGAAACAGCTTCAGGTCTCACATTTTATTTATTAGAAAGCAAAATGTCTTCATGAATAATTGCTGTAATTGCCAAACTAAAACATTAAGAGCAGAAATTATTATTTTTCTATGTGCTTCTTAGTGAAAATGATTGGTGAGTTTCCTCTGAGTCATGCTGCCGTCATAATGTGAGTAAAGACCGTTGCTTTGGGTCCAAACACTCCATCATGAGTTTGATGAAGAAGAAATGAGCATCCTGTTCAATGTAAGCTTCATAAACTCCACACTAATACAAACTGGGCACACGATCACAAACGACCCGAGCTCAAAGGAACAACGCCTCCGTAGGGACGAAGCAGAAAATGACTGTGTTCAGGCTGCAGCTACAAAACTACTCCTGAAAGGTTTTCATTATGTGAGTCAGCGTTTAATTGTCTGCTGAGGTGACAGGGTTTGTGG